ATATTGCAATTATTATGAATGACTGATGAATATTGAATTGAATATTGCAATTATTATGAATGACTGATGAACATTGAATGTGAATATAAATGTTGAATAATGCATGATGAATAATTTTTAATAATTATTGATTATCTGAACTGAACATTATATGCATGATATCAAATGATTTGATTATGAATTTAGATTCAGTTTATATGGATGTTCGACGCATTGGACTAGCTTACTCAGCTTAAACGCTGAGCGTGTAGTATGTTTTATTTGCTACACGCAGGTAAACAAAAAGAATGAAGAAATGATTTCCTGGAGGCAGATGGGACGAGAAGATCGGACGGATGTGTGTTTTGCATTTAAATTACTGTTGAAAAGACAAAAATTAATTATGTTTGTATTATGTTTTATTAAGCTTCCGCAACATTAAATTACTCCGTTACTATTTTGAATTATTTATTATGAAATAAAGTTTTAAATATTTGAAATATTTTAAATGTTTACGAATACCAAGTTTATACTTTAGTCCGAAAAGGGCTGCAGACCTGGACGGATTAGGGTGTTACAGTTCATTATATCGATCGTAATCACCAGGGCGTCCCTATGGGGGACCCCTATTTTTGGCAAATCAGCATTAGAAAATACAATCGGTTCAGTTTTCAGCTTCTTACCTTCCGGGGCCACCACCTTATTGACTATCGCCGCGTTGGCCCACTTCTTCCGGCTTGTGGCCGAGTCTCCACCAGTATTCCCACCAATGATGGAATTACACCCGTGGTGTCTCTTCTACCGGTGTGGTGCGGGCTCTGAATCCTCCTCTTCATCTTCAAGCCTGATGTGGCGTTTTTCCCGGGTCTCAGCCTGGGCCACCTCCTTATCTCTACGCTTCCCGTTTTGAGCGTTCCCGAGATTTCCCACGTCACCATCTTGTATAAACTTCTTCAGATGGCCCCGGTGGATTAGCCTCGCCATCTCATTCTTCAGGGTATAACAGTCTTTGTGTTGTGATCATTCTTGCGGTGGTAGGCACACCATTTTCCAGTGTCCTCCACGTTGCAGACCTTCTGGGAATAGGTTGGATATGTCATTAACCCCTGCTGTGCAGCATGGGCCATGACTTCAGCCATCGGTAAAATAAAGACTGGATTGGCAAATTTGTGCTTCTCCGAGCTCCCAGGGTTTGTGCCCTTTGGGCCATCCGGGAAGCCCTGCTTCTTGTTCTTGAAAGGCTTCTTGTTTCCCTCCTTCTCTTCTTCTTTGGGAGTCTTCTCTTTCTTTTCCTCCTTCCTCTCCTCCAAGGTCACATACCTCCCGGCCCGGACCATCGCTTCTTCAAAGGTATCTGGGGGATGGGTTGTAAGATCGGTATGAAGAAGACCATCTTGCAATGCCGCCGTGAACATGGCTAACCTGGATTTATCGTCGGTTCCTTTAACCTCCCTGGACTCTTTTCTCCATCGGGTTAGGAAATGCGTCAAGGATTCCCCATGCTTCTGCCGCACTGAAGCCAAGTGAGTGAAATGCTTCTTGGGACGGCAGTTCCCTGCAAAATGTTCCAGGAACCGCAATCCCAATTCATCCCATGTCCGGATCGATCCGGCAGGAATGTCATTCACCCACTCCGCAACCTTGCTATCCACTGTTTGCATGAAGCATCGGCACATCAACGCGTCGCTGGAATCAACGGCGATCATCACCTAGACATAGCTATTTATGTGTTCTTGGGGATCCGATTCCCCATCATAACGCTTAAGAAACGGCATCTTGAATCCCTGCGGATATGGTTCCGCAAGGATCTCCGGGGCGAGCGGAGTATTCGTCCGGGTAGTGAATACTCGTCCCCTGTTTATCTTCCTCTGCATCTCCTGAATCTGTTGCCTCAGATCCTGGAATTCGCCAGCTTCCAGTACTGGCGGCCCCAGACGCTGCGGTGCTGGGACCCTAACTTGGCTCTGAACTTCCTCCTCGTCCAAGACCACCAATGACCATATTGGCGCTTAGCTCCCACCGCGGCCGGCTCGTTACCGAGGTTCGCGGTTGGAGGATGCCACTTGGCTGGCCTGGGGTCGTACCCAACCCTGGGGTGCTTTGTCTGGATTCTTCCCTAGCCTCTCACTAATGTGAGCCCTCTGGTGAGATATCCTTTCAAAAACTGTCCCCCGCGGGTTTTCGTTTCCGTTGCCTATGACTTGACTCACAGCCCTGGTTCAGTCCCCATTCGCCAAATTATTCCAGGCCATCTCCTCCGCCCGGCGCCTAGCGATGGCCTGTCTCTCCCTCTCGACCTCCTCCGGATCATGAAGCTCCTGGAGGATGGGAGAACTGGCAGTACGCAGGACCTGGTGGGGTTGCCCGGTAGGGATATCCCGGGTGCTAGATGGGCCAGGGAGAGCCTGGTCTAATCGTTCCATAATGTTGGCGATCATGTTAGCCACATTATTCAACGCCGTTTCCAGCCAATTGACAGGAACGATCATGCCTTGTTCAGGGTGGTCACTCCTCACCGTCGACTGGGCGGAAGCGGCGGTGTTACGTCTCGTCCTTCGTCCGGCCATAATCTCACAACTTTATCTCACAGTTACTCTCAATGGAAGCACCAATGATGGGATTAACCGGATCAGATGGCGGACCAAAAACGTAATATGAACCAGAAAGATATAATCTCGTAATAATATATTCTTTAATTAAGTATGTAGTTGCTCGGGTCGTCCCTTTACAGTGGCGGGTTCTTTCCCCTTTTATAGTACTTCTAATTTCTCAATTAACATTACACCTAATGGAAGGAATTATGGAGATCATGGAGTTGTGATTCCTTCCTTTCCGGTCTCATTCTCTTCCCATTCCCCCCACGTGTCCTCTTTCTCTCTTGGACTGGATTATCCCCATTCAGCCCATGATTGGGCCGTCAGTCTTATTGCTCGCATGCGGCTAGGTGGGCTCGATCAATTACTCGCACCTGGACTTGTCCAGTTTGCACAATTTTGGGCTTTTATTGGGCCTGGAGTCGGGTCGATCAGACCCAATATCCATCAATTATTATTGCTATTATTATTATATCTATCATTATTACTAATTTATATTTGATCAGATCCAATCAGATTAGATCAGAGCATATCAGTTCAGATCATATCAAAACTTTAAAAAATATCAGATCAGGCAAACGGAACGCAACCTAAATACTGTTAAATTTGTCAAGACCTGACGCACTTACTTAACATACGGCAGTGGTCTCAAATTTTTAGGGATTATACCACATGTGCAATTTAGACAATTTATTAAACATGCTCAAATAAGGCCTTATAAATTTTGTTCAGACCGACCCTATGTTTTACAATTTAAGATGAGAACTGAAGAAACAAATAAGTATGATTGCAATTTAAAGAAGTTAGTGTGTACTGAATTAGTTACCCTGGCATACAAGCTTTGGGGATCCGTGGCAGACCCTCTAACAGCCCTTGATTTTGCTTTTGAATTGGAGGCATTCATAATAAGGTCATCATGATGATCACTGCTGCTACAGCTTGAATTCTGTGGATTCCCTTCCTCTTGATCTTCATCTCCATTTTCAAGGTTCTTCTTTGACATGGGGAGTGCTGTTGTTTTGTTTTTCTGTGCCTGCATTATATATATTCGGCCATTACTTCTACTGAAGAGCAAAAGTATTGAAATAAAAAAGACCGTCATCTTGGACCTGGAATGATTAAGACCAAATTGGTCCTTGAGATCTGTCTGGTGTTGGATGTTGATGATTTTAGTGTTATTATCTATTTTGTATAATTAAATTTACTTAGATCAAAAAAAAGTTGAATAGACGTTGCCAAACGAGTTAAGAAGTGCCTAGTCAAGGTAGGGGCGGAGGAGGGGGTGGAGCACGTGCCCCTAGCAGAGCTCCGGCGAAGAGCCATCCAGGAATCGGAAATGTGTCGCGACCGGCGGTGTGCCCCCTCAGGCCATTGCGGCACAGCGTGGCTCTTTAGTTTGCATCCCCTATTCAACTTTTTATTTTTGTTTCAAGTTTTATTTCAGGGGTTTTAATAGCCACAACGACGTCGTTTTGATTTAGAATTTTTAAAATTTTTAATACAAAAATGGCGTAGTATTAATATACTTCATTCGTTTTTGGACATGGTGAAAAGCGAAACGGAGTATACATCCTAGTTTCTTCCTCTGCGTCGGCTAATGTGGCTAACGTGGATCCTTTGCTTCTTCATCAACGCTTGGGTCATCCTTCCTCAGATATTATTTCCCTTTTAAAGTCCAATAAGTCAGGTTCTGTTATCAAGAAACTTCAAGCTTGTGAGATTTGTTTTTTGTCTAAACAAACTCGTTCTTCCTTTCCTGTTAGTCATAATAAAGTTAAAGCAACTTTTGATTTAATTCATTGTGATTTATGGGGTCCTTATTCCCCGTGTTTGTCATCTGGCGCTCATTATTTTCTCACAATTGGTGATGATTTTTCTCGTGTTGTTTGGGTATATCTTATTCGTTTCAAAAGTGAGGTAACATACTGTCTTAAACGGTTTTTTACCACGATTCACACCCAATTCTCTAAAATCATCAAAGTCGTCCGGTCTGATAATGGCACCGAATTTCTCAATGCCCCTTTGCGTCAATATTATGATTTCATGGGTGTTTGTATCCAAACGTCGTGTGTTGGTACCCCTCAGCAAAATGGTCGAGTAGAACGAAAGCATCGTCACATTCTCAACGTTGCTCGTTCTCTCATGTTTCAAGCGTCTCTTCCAGTTGAATTTTGGGGGGAATGTGTCAAAACTGCTGTTTATTTAATTAATCGCACATCGACAAAACTCTTGGGTGGGAAATCTCCTCTTGAAGTACTTTCATTTAAACCACAAGATTTGAGTCATCTCCGGGTTTTTGGTTGTCTCTGTTTTGTCCGTCAAACACCTAAACCCCTAAACAAATTTTCTCCATGTAGCGTGAAATGCGTGTTTATTGGGTATCCCTATGGAACAAAAGGGTGGCGGGTGTATAACTTGGACACTCACCAATTTTTTCACGCTAGGGATGTCGTGTTCGACGAATCACAATTCCCGTTCTCTGTCCCGAACACTACCAGTCCCGTCCAACCCGTATTAAACCCCGCTGACGTCGATTTTACCGTCATCTCTCAGCCGGCTGCCTCCCTCGGCGACACCACCACCGAGCAGCCCAGCCCGCCACCGTCTCCAACTCCGTCCCCCATCCCTGTCCCGTCAACCGAACAGCCCCCTCTTCCCGTCACTGTCCAGTCCACGGGCGAGGCCATCTCGTCCGTCCCGTCTCCATCTCCTTTACCTCCTCGCACCCGTTGCCTCCCCCCGCCTCAATGATTATGTCCTCAATTCTGTGTCTATCGTCACTCCGTCTCCCTCTTCACCTAGCTCCGTCTCGTCCGGTACACGGTTCCTGATTACTAACTATGTTCATTATGATAAGTTGCATAACAGGTACAAGGGCTTTCTTGGTGCTATTGATGCTTCTCCGGTTCTCACATCATATAGGGAAGCTGTAAGATATGCTTCTTGGAGGGAAGCTATGGCACAGGAATTTAGTGCATTGGAGCGCAACCATACCTGGGTGATTACTGTTCTTTCTCCTAATCGGCGGGCCCTTGGTTGTCAGTGGGTTTATCGCACTAAATATCGGTCTGACGGCACCAAGGAGCGGGATAAAGCTCGTTTGGTTGTCTTAGGAAACCACCAGGAGGTGGGGGTCGACTTCACTGATACTTTTGCCCCCGTAGCCAAGTTGGCTACAGTTCGGGTGTTGTTGTCTGTCGCAGTTGCACGAGGATGGCAGGTTGATCAGTTGGATGTCAACAATGCCTTTTTACACGGGGATCTTCAGGATGAGATCTATATGAAGCTTCCACCTGGATACTCTCATTTGTTTCCTAGGAAGGTTTGCCGTTTGTGAAAGTCTTTATACGAGCTCCGTCAGTCTCCCCGTAATTGGTTTGCCAAGCTTCGTATGGCCCTGCGTCGCTATGGCTTTCGCCAGGCCCATGCGAATCATACTCTTTTTGTTCTCTATCGCGGTCTTGATATACTTGTTGTTCTTGTTTATGTGGATGATATTCTACAACTTGGTTTTATTTATGTGTTTTTATTGATTATTTGATAAAAGACGTAAAGTTTTGCCACGTAATTCCCATATGTAATCTAAATTAGAACGGAGAGAGTATTAGTTTTTTTTGTCATTTTGTACTCTAGCCCCATGCACTATTTTTGTGCCCTCCGGAACTTGGGTGCTGGCTCCGCCACTTGATAAATTTGCAGAAGAAAAAGATCATGATATTCAACGGTTCAACTTTCATAGTTTTCGTATATTTTTATTTTGAATTAGACGTATGATTGAATTTTTTAAGGAAATGGAAATTTAATTAATTAAAACATGGAGTACAAAATTTGGCGAGACATTGCCCCAAATACCACAATCCCACACTCCACGTTTAGCTAATGCATGAGCAACCCCACTCAAATCATGACTCACTTTAGACGACTTAAAACGGAATAAATTAAAGAAAGTAAAGAAATACAATCTTTTATAATTGAACCAAATACTCTAGGACGGAGTAGATAAACACTCTAGTATGTTATGAACATTCTTTAAGATTTTATTACTCCTTTACCTCAAAACAAACTTTATATTTCACTTTAATGTCTTAAATACATTATTTAACCAGCCAAATGGCTCCATTGTCTCCTCTGCTTTGGAATATTGGCACCAATACCACTTCTAGTTTCAAAATTTATTTTTAAAGTTCTCGTGATTTTAAAATTTTGCACCCCACACCACATCTAATCATTTTCCGGTCATTTTCCAGTGAAAAGATGGCATTAGTGCCTATTTTTTTAACAATAGGGGGCACGCGGGTTCGTTTTTTGTGTTTATTATTTAGTTTTTTTCTTTCATTACTCTTTTTTATCATTTTGTTTCTTTTTCTTAGAAAAGTTTTTTAAGTTTCCTTTTCAGTTTTTATAATGTTTTAAAAATCTCTAATTCTGTGTTTGAAATAAAAAATAAATAAAATATACTCGATCTATCTCAAATTAAACATTTTCACTTTTTGTTTTCTAGAAGCTAAGTTCAAAAATAAAATTCAGAATAAAAAATAAAAATTTGGAAAAATGAGATGAAAACAAAAATGAAACATGCAAAAAAAAGTCTTATAAAAAAATTCCCATGACGCCTAAAAAGTGTTTAGAATTGGAGCGTTCAAAAAGGATATTCAATTTATTTTTTCTTTTATTTTATTTGTTATTTTATTCCTCATTTTTTGAAGTTCTGAAGAAAAGTTTTTTATTTTTTATTTCTAAAAAAATTGTTAATTTGAGACGTATAGATGGAATATACTCGTATGTTAATTTTTTTTCAAACAATTTTTTTTTTGAATATTAAGAATATTATAAAATATATTAAAAAGAAATTTCGAAAAACTTGATTAATAAAAGAAACAATAAAGAAAAAAAGAGAAGAACAAAAAATGAACGAAAAATAAGAAAAGAGCACCATTTCCCCCTATGGTTTAGAAAATAGGTCTCAATGCCCCCTATGATTTGGAAAAAATAGCCCGAAAATGATTAGAGGCGGTATGGGTGTACCGTTTTGAAACCTCGGAGATTTTAAAATAAGTTTTGAAAACAGAGGGTATTGATGCTTGTTTTCTAAAACACGGGAGGTACTATCCACGCCGTAGTTCTATACAATAACAAATACACCCTCCATCCCAAAAAGCCTTTTCATCTTTGCTTTTTCACTTGTCTCAAAAAAACACTTCTTTAATTAATATTGATCACCTATTTACCCCTATTAGTTATTACTAAATAATACTTATTCATTATTAATCAACAAAGCAATCTTATATATACCGTCTTAAAAGTAATTAAGAGGGGGCAACATGAGAAAGTCAACTACAAACTTCTCTCCTTAAATTTATGAAAAGTCAAGAGTTTTGAGGGAGGAAGTGAATATTATTATAAAATTATTAGTATATTTCAAAATTTTGCTTTTTGTTTTCAAAACCTTTTTGACCATTTTAAATTTTTATCTCAATTGAAGGAATATTTTTTTCTACCTATTATAATTAAAGTTTGAAAACTATGCCAAAATTTTATTTTGAAACCGATGGAACATCAAAATGAAGTACATAGGAACTCACACGTGGCCAAACCCGATGTTTTTTCATAGGATTTTGAGATGATGATTTGTTAGTGATAGCAGTCCCAGAACTCCTCTTGAGCTGTTTCACTTCCGGGTGTGAATCAACAATAATGGCTGTCTGAAGGTTAAAATTATTATTACCTTCACCAACATCTTGTCCCATAGCCGCCCTATCATCATGATAATAAAACGTTTGGACACCGCCTGATGAATGGCTATTATTCTCAATGTTCATCTTCATCACACCATCATCAATACTTTCGTATGATACATATCGCTGAAAGTGATCTTCAGTGTTGATGAGAACATCATCAGAAGAGCACGAAGAGTAAAATCTGCTGCCGCCATTATTGAGAATGTCCAGAACTCCATTATCATGATGATGATGATGAGCACTCATGCGGCATTCTTGATCATTATCATAATCATCGCCCTTGAGTTGAATAAGCATGAAATCATCAATTTCATGACTGCTTGATAACATCTTGCTTATGGACTCCCACTCTTCATCAAAATATGTAGCTCCCACTCCAACAGGCTCCATTCTATTATATTGCTTGATTAATATCTAGCCTTTTTATGGAGTAATTATTTTATAGCAAAAAATGGAAAAGCTAGTATATATAGGTATTGGTAAACTCGTAGTAGTAGTATTAGTTTATACCCCTAATCTAGGGAGTTGTTGGAGAGAATAATGTAATGCATGTTTTTTTAAATGATGATTATTACATTTGACTATATTTATTTATTGCATTACTCTGATTATTAAATTCGAATTGTTTTTTTAATAGTTGTGACTAGGGAACTGAACCCCCAACCCCTTCACAGTTCACAAATTAGATAGACATCCTTGTCGTGTACTTGCTCCCTCCTATTAGGTTGGCGTCTACGTAGTACGTAGTATTTTACAAAAAGAATATATATATATATATATATATATATATATATATATATATATATATATATATATATATATATATATATATATATATATATATATATATATATATATATATGTGGGTTGGTTCCAGTGAAAATTGTGTTTGGTGAAAGAAATATGAATGATGTAAAGAAATATGAATGATTTAAAGCCGTTAGATCTATTGTATCGGATGGCTGTGAATCCTGTGATAGATTTAAAAGTTTTGACCGTATAAATTTTAGGAAAAAAGAAGGAAATCATTACGTTGCATTAAATTAGGATATTATTGTGATGTTAGGGTCATAATCGGCATTCCAAAAGTGTGGAAGAAATCGAAATAGTTTCAAATTGTTCCCCATTCCCACAATTTCTGCTCTCACCAAGTATAGCAATTATTATCTTTAAAAAAATATAGTACTCCCTCCGTCCCTCAGTTTTTGTCTACTTTTAACTTTTAGAACTGTTCATCTAAGCACTTTGACTCATCAAATTCTCTCAATGTGTAAACTTAAATATAGTCATGTGTGATCTTGTTTGATTTATCTTAACATATAGATTATTAATATATAATTTCTATAATTTTTTAATATACAAATTACAAGATAAAATGGATTAAAGAAGTGCATTGCATGGTGTGTAAAAATGAAAGTGGACAAATACTCTGGGACGGAGGGACTAGTTATTAGTCTAGGTGCATCCATATCCGTTTAAAAAGAAAAAATCCGTACATCTCTAGCTACAGTACACTACAACAGGAAACCGGGAGTAAGCCTGTAAATGTATAGTCAAAAATCCGATTACCGTCCGCATCCGTATCCTTTTGAAAAGAAAAAATCCGTATCCGTTTTAAACGGATATTATCCGCGTCCGATCCGGGATAACCGATTACTAAACGGATGCGGATTTGGTATTTATGAATCCGATCCGTTTAAAATCCGATCCGCATGGACATCCGTTTCAAAAACCGTTACCGTTTATCCGAATAACCGTTTATCCGAATACCAAATTAAAATAAATGTAATAAATATAATTTTGTTATGTATTTACCCCAATTGCCAATCCAATAAAGTTGGGCTAGTGGCCCAATATGAGTATATCACAAATCTAACCCTACCACAACAATTCAACAAACAAGTTAATCCCTCAGCCCTTCCTCCGTCCACAAATCATCCCAAAGCAGCCGCTGGAATCATAGAATCAGCGAATCGCAGTAACTGCTCCGATACCTCAGCCTGTCGACCATCTTACTCCTTGACGGAACTGCTCCAATCTTTCTCCAAGGAATCGGCGAATTGCAGCGGACCGCTCCCAAGGAATCAGCCCGTCGGCGAACTGCTCCAATCTTTCTCCGAGGAGAAGACCGCTCCAATCTTTGCTCCAATCTTTCTCCAATCTTGCTCCAATCTTTTCGGATTTGGTGTAAACGGATAATCGGATTATCGGATTTTAGGAAATTCGGATACTTAAACGGATGTTCGGTCTGATACAGATTTATCCGAATCCAAAAAAATCTGACGGTTTCAGATTCGGATTTGAAAGTTAGAACATTCGTCGGAATCGGATGCGGATTCGGATGATGTTTTGGCTAAACGGATGCGGATACAAATGTTGCATATCCGATGCGGATTTTATCCGTTGACAGCTCTAACCGGGAGTTATAATCATGATGAGTACTTTGTTTTCATGTTGATAAATTTGTATAGTCCAATTAGTAAAAGTGTAGTTATGAGGTAAAAATTTCTCATCTTTTAAAATCATTTTATTTATAAAAAATAAAGATTACATATTAAAAATTTACGTTAACAATTTTTACAAAACAAGAGATGATAAGAATATTTTATTTTATCAAATACTCAATAAAACACACAAATAAACAAAAATTATCGAGAGGAGAGAGAAAAAAATATTATAATCTAGTTGAGGACGGAGGGAGTATTGATTTATTTTTAGAAAATAGCTCTATTGCGTATAATGCATTCTTTTATATTTTTAAAACATGTTTGTATGACGAAATGAAGTGCATCTGGAGTGTTGCATGTTGTACTTCTGTTTTTACACGATGCACTGGCATTGACATTAATTTTGAACAATATGAAAAGAACTCAAGAATTCTAATCAGAATTTAAATTTGATGTACTCAACTTCCAAGTTGCATCTTTACAAATCAATGGATACAACATGCATTATAAATTACCTATAATGCACTAAAAAGTATTTATAATGCACTAAAGAGTTTACACCATACAAACTATGCACAAGGAAAAACACACAACGTAAATATTATTATAATACAAGTACTTTTTTAAATAAAAATGCTATAGTCACAAAGAAAAAGGATGCAGAAAGAAAAATGCTATATTGGAATGCATTACCTTGATCTTAGAATGCATTAATGGTATTATGACAACAAACAATTTAAGAATGCACAATAACATAAACAAATTCTCAATTTGTTAATTGAAGACCCTATTGTCTTACTCCTACATATGTGAGGCTCCACTCTACACTTGGTTGATTGAGCTCTTATGACAACAAACTCAAAAATTGAAGACCCTATTGTCTTACTCCTACATATGTGAGGCTCCACTCTACACGTGCAAATAATTATAAGGCATATCCAAATTAACGAAAAATATACATATTCATAATATAAGCAAATAAGTCGTATTTTGAAATGCATATAAGAAAAAACTTCAGAGCAAGCGTAAAACAAATTAAAAAATAATTTGTTTGCCTATGCGGGATTCGAACCCACATTGTACATACCGCTCTACCATTTGAGCTAATAGACAAATTTTTTTAAAGAGATTCTCATATTGCATTTGGACCTATTAAATGCTTATTTTAATCTTTTTACATTTACATTATTCTACGCATTTAGATTCCTCTGTTTACCTTTCAAGAACATAACTTTATAGGAAAATCAAGTTCGAATTGATAACAATAGACAACTCATGTGTATGCGTTTTCTTGATTCTAAGAATGCACAATAACATATGTCATAAACAAAGCCTCAAAGGTCATAATAATGCATAAACACGCTTTAGAATTTCAAATAACATTATTAAAAAACTTAGAGATCAAAACTTTGGGTTAGTTTATGCTAAATCATAGTTAAAAACTCAAAATGAAGTTTATGGAGTAGTCATCAATTTGTATATTGCATAAATACACTTAGTATGGTGCATGTTTATCGTTTGCACGCACATCATTTAAGCATGTTACACTGCATCTTGCATACTCCAAGATGCATATCAAGAGTGTATGTAATGCATTTAAACATAAAATAAACTTTCTTTCAACAACTACTCCCAGTCTCAAATTTTACATGGGTTTTATATCGGGTGTTTTCACAAACAGTTTATGTGCAGATATATAAAAGATGAATTAGGTAAACATAGATCTTGTATATCATGATAAG